GTTTTTAACAGCAATTTTTTGTATTTAAATATTAAAAACTTAGTTTATAGTAGTGTATATTATATATATATATATGGATTGGTCANTGATTAACTTCTGTAAAATAATTTTCTTTTTTTAATGATAAGGAATTTGTAATTAATATACAGAGCTACTTTCAGTGAGGAGCAGCTGGATTAAAAATGATATAATGATATTAAATAAAATTTATGTATTTACTAAGCTCTTATATATATATAAGAGCTTAGTAAATACATAAATTTACTAAGGAACAGTTTAAGAGGAAGAGAATGGCGAAAAGTACAGCATTGTACACGATTTGTAGGAAGAGGATAGAGGCATTGTCTACCTGGAATTTCTGTGGTATTATTGTATACAAATCTGTTCTCACAAGCTTACTTACTAGTCGTGTGAATTAACTATTGGTTGGAAAATATTTGCAGAACTTTTTAATAATTTCTTAAATTCTGGAGAGATACAGTACATGAAGTAAAGTGGGGATCTGCCAAAAGTACATACAGTAGAACATAGCAAGGAGGAAGGAGTCAAAAGTGATTCAAAAACTGTACATGTAATTAATGGATAAATTAACAAATCTTTGAGCCCTTAGTAAATTTAATTCTGTTTCTGGTAGTAAAAAATGTTAGAAAAATTTCGACTGCAGTTATTTTTAAATTAAAAAATAATTCGTGCCTTTTTCTATGTTACATCCTGTTACAAATGGGGACATATGTCCCTATTTTAATTAGGACCTAGATTTCTCGTTTAAATCCTGTGAATGGGTTCGATAATAATAATAATACGTCAATTACAAGAATAATTTATTTTTCATCGGTAAATTTTTATAGTAATATAAATTTTATTACATGAAGTACGAGCACAATGGAACATCGTTTTTCATTTTGTTGAGATGTAGAAATATTAAAAGGAACATGATTGACACAATTGAAATAATTTCTAATAAAAACTAAAATTTATTTTTATTCAAGGAAAGAAAGGGCATCACTTGGATCATTTCAATTTTTATACTAGTAATTTACAGTCAGGGCTAAACTTAGACTTACTGTGGTCCTAAGGAGCCGTCCATTAATTAAACGTACAGTTTTTTAGCCACTTTGGACCTCCTCCCTCTCTTCTGTGTACAATGACGTAGCCTACTTTTGGTAAATCCCTATCCCCTTACGTGTACAGTACATTCTTGACATTAAAGAAATTACTCGAGTAGGCATAAGAATGAATTCGTACGCCACTAATACTATTAAAAAAAGACCAAGTAGACAATACCCGTGTACAATAATATACTTTTCTCCACCCATTAAACTGTACAAATACATAATGGATAGCCCTTAAGCTAAAGCACATACAGGCCCTTCTCCTTTACCAAATAATGATACACGTAAAAATGCGAGGCCCTAAACTACAGCTTGTTTAACTGAAACAAATCTTGCAGTGTTTATGTATGAATTTAATATTTAAATAAATAAACATTTAAAACGAGCAATACGGAAATAATCTCAAATGTTAGCGCTTCCAGTATTAAAAATGGTGTCCTATTTTCGTCCACAGTCAAAAGTGAAGTGGTAAGACCGCAGAAAAGACAAATTTACGAGTGACAAATTCACTGCATCTTAACAGTACAACTCATTTACGGCCCCTGATCGATTTCCTCCAGATTAAAGACGAAATCTTCCATAAAAAATAATAAATTTTAAGCATAAATTCACACTAAAATTTAATCTACACTTCGTAAATTTTAACGATAACATTCTCGAGTACTACTATAATTCTGTAATTGAATGCTGTAAAAATAAGTACAAGGTCAGGCGAGCATCAATAAGAAATACGTTGTCACAGGGATCATCTCAAGGCAATATGAACTCTTTTAACATGAAAAATGGTTAATTTATCTTGACCGGTATTTAAATTCTGGTTCCTGGATAGTGTAACATTATTATGTAATATCTTAGGGCAATTTTTTTTATTTTTTTGTGGTTACTATAGGTAAGAATCGTTTGATGACGGCATGTGACAAATGAATTTCTAATGAATGATGATTTCCTTCCTGATAACTGGATCAATTGATACAGGTCATACCAGTTTGCACGCCTGATTTTATTTTCGTTTCAGATATGTCAATGGAAATTGTAATGATTTTTATCAGTGGCGCGTTATCCTACGGGCAAAAAGGGGCCCCAAATTCCCTCGAAGAAAAATGTCTGAAGTCAAGTACATGGGGGCCCTCTAGTTCAAATTTGCCTGGGCCACATGGTTAACGAAAAGTAATCTGTTTTATATTTAATTTTTTTTTTAAATATCATTTTTAGCTGGTTCTCAATATTTTTTCCTGTGTCCTACAGGAGAACTCACCAAAAACAATCGTATCTAATTAATTAACAAAATCAAAATGGAATTTTAAAATATAATAATTAAATATTCCTTGCTGCTTGTTATTTATAAATAATTCATTTTTACTTAACGGGTGTTTCTAAATTAAGTATAAAGTGAGAAGCAAGGATCAAGAATAACCAGTGTGATTATTGGTCTTCATTATCAAATTTTTTGGTACAAGGTTTGTTTGATAACATAAGGCAGCGGGACACGTGGTTGATCTGCCTTTCTTCCGGTAAAATTTTCTGTGACCCTATTTAGGTGTAGAAAACCCGGAAAACTCCACGTGAGGCACGAACCCGCGACCAACTATCGATGACCAAGAGTTCCTTTCTGTACAAAATAAATATTTCTTTTCTCAATAAGTATAAAATTACTTATAATTTTATCCTAAAATGTCCAAAATTGCCTTATTTCACAAATTTTATACATTAAATCAATAAATTCTGATATGTATTGATATATGATGTAGTATACAGTAAAAATCTCATGTGGCCATCTTTGGGGTATACAATTTCAGGCCTCATAAATGTGGTGGTCATCTCGGTTGGGTTGTAAATATTGATACAGAACTGTAATTAGAGTATCCTTATGAATCCTGCTAAAAGTTTAACACAGATTATAAAAATAAACAAAAAAAAACCTCACATAATACTGTACATTCTTTACAATATGTAATAGTTTAATTACTCTGTACGAAAGTTTGATGTATTAATATTTAATATAATATTGATGTATAGTAGAAGTTCTGTTTGCGTTAGTACTGTACTTGAATGAACCCTAAACAGTTTTTAGTACCAGCAGGTGCAATTAGTATGGGAATAAAAGGTTTCATTTAAATGATGTATTTAAACAGAATTCAGAAATAAAATTATTAAACAGAAGTCATACAGAAACATATGCAGATGTGTCAAAAAAAAAATGTGTTAATAATTAAACTGACTTTTACATCAGTCTTTTCAAATTCTTCTTTGTAAAGTGTTGTGAGTGACATAACAGTGACATGGACCAATCACTGCTGATTTAAATTGTCTGTATTTACACTAGACAAATAATATATTTTATTTGAATGTCATCTGTGGGAGGAAACTTGGCAAACTGTTCCAAAACTACATGAACAAAATTCAATTCCATTTTAAGTACTTTTCTATATACAACATCTTGTTTAATGTTGTTTTTCCTTTTCTGTTGACCACAAACGGAGCTAAATATCACTTAAATGGTCAAGATATCCTAAAGTGAGATGACCAGTGGCCACCAAGATGGAGTTTAAATTAAAACTTATACAGTTTTATAGGAGATTCATGGGTGGCCACCTCAGTTTTGTATAGTTTTATGACAAATTATGTAAGTCTATTAAACTAGGAACTAAAATATATAACAGCAGCAATTATTTTTTGAATTTTTTTATTAAGACAAATATATTTAGAATCTAGTTCTATGTAACTTTGAGATTCCTTAAATTAAACTATGATAAAACTAAAATTACATGTTGCAGTAATTTCCTTAAATTATTATTTAAAATTAAATTAAATACAGCATAAATTTAAAAGATTTTTAGTAAATGATTTTCTAAGTTTATGGACAATGAGGATTTTTTATATACATGGTTCCTACTCAAATTTTTGTTTTAATTTCCATGACCAACTTCATACAAATTCCCTGGCCGTCAGGTCCGTCACAGTATGGCACATTGACAGAATAAAACAGCATTTGACTTACTATGCACATATGTTTTGCTTCTCCAATGCTTTAATTAGTTATTTTTTCTCATTAATAGTTAATAATTTGGAAATTATAAAAAATATATAAAATTCTATTATTAATTTTTGGTTTGTTAATTGGTTTTAAAAGAAAAAAAATTATTTATTTATTATTATTCATTAACAAGTTCTATATAATCCATGTACAAAAGTATATATTTATTAAATTTATCTCTTATTAATATTTCATAAAGCTTGGGAAATTTATTAAGCTGGAAAAAAAGCAGATATTGTTTGTTACACAATCAAAATTATTAAAATGAAAAATAATACCATTTAAACTATCATTTATCACCATTTTGTGTACTTTGTAAGCTTTGGGTCCTGAAAATATTATGAAAAGGGGTGCAGAAGTTGTATTATACATTACTTCTTGCTGCTTGCAGACACTTGGTCAAGCATATTGTCAACAAAAAATCAACAAGGTAGCCAAGGAAGCAAATTCCCTGATATTCCAGGTGTGTAGGAATCCTGTATATAATATATAATGATAAAAATATTTTTTTAAATATGTTAAAATTAGATAATTGAATTATTATTAATTTCAAAATATATGAATTTGTTTCAAAACTTATTTGATAATATTTCAAACGCTGATTTTATCAAGACAATTGACACTTACAAGTTAGTGTAGTTTGACAATACATCAGTGATATGACAAAATATTCTAATTCCATAAGGTAATATCCACAGAATCTTAAAATACTTTAAAGCATTCTTATTAAATTATCCTATATGTAAAAATGAATTATATATAAAATTAAACTCAAAATATTTTGATAATATAAAATTAAATATTTGAATTACATTCCAATACTTAAAAATTTAAAAAAAAAAGGCAAATAAAAATGAATTTCAACTTTCACTTTTTATTTTAATTTTCATACCAATGTACAAAAAAATTGTGCAGTTAATGAAGTAGACATAAAAATGTACCTTTGTCTAATTTTTGGTAGTTAAGTAAACAAAAAATACAGTATTATACTGAAAAGATTTGTACAAAAGTCAATTCAACAGTTCATGGAAATGTATTGGTTGAATGTACTAAAGAAAAATAATTAGAGTTCACATTTTGAATTTCTATGGAAGCCATTCACAGAATAACTGCCCTGAACACTAAACATTCAAACTGGAACTTGAAATGACATCTAGTCAACAGATGTTTTAACACTTGACTGAAGAATGTTGATGATTAAATACAAAAATTATGGAATTATATGATGTTCGATTTTCATAATTCATCGTGTTCCGATGACTCTTCCTACAAAAAATAAGAAAATTTTTGTTTTAAATAATGCATTAAAGCAATAACAAGAGGAGAGAAAAAAAAAGTTTTCTTCTTACTTCTGTATCTTCCTCTTTTTGGTCTTCTTCATCTTCTGGTTCTTCTGAAGGTTCTTCAACCTAAATAAGTTTGTGAAAAATTTTAAATAAAATTTTCAGTATATATAAAAAAAATTAACATTTTCATAATTTAGAAATAAGAAAAATCAACACTTATTTTAAAAAACTGCCTGTGTAATTACAAGTGAAATTTTATTTTATTAGTCAACTTTTATATTTGAAGGGTTCGTTTTGAATTTATTTGCTGAATACATAAAATATTAAATAATAAATAATGCAGAAGAATCTGCTTGTTTACATTATTACAATGTGCATCTGTTAGTAGTCACACCAAACAACTACCAGATTCCACCAGGCTATTTATCTGCGTTTAAATTTAATTAATTTCTAAATAATTTGTTCTAGAGGGAGGTGTTAGGTGCCATCTCTTATTAAATATAATANAAACTATTACATATTGTAAAGAATGTACAGTATTATGTGAATTTATTATTATTATTTTAAATTACTGAAAAAAGTAACCACGACCTTCTAGCATGGACAATAATAGTTTGTTTGACAAGAATAAATTAATGCAGAAAACAATATGCAATGTGCAATTTATATAATTCTTACAATAAATCTTTACTTTTTCGAATATTATTGATGACTAATTCAAGGCTCAATAAGCTTTTAATACAGTTGTTTATAATAATTATAGTTGAAATACAGTCTGAAACGAGTTTATTTCTTAGTAAAGTTGTTTTAAATTATACAGCCTGGCTCAAAAGTCAATTAACTGTGTGTTTCTGCAATTAGTGAAAGTGTGTCAAAACATTTTAATTCGTTTATTAAACAAGTATAATCTCACTTTTAGCGACTTTTTAAATCTGTAAATAATAAAATATTTAGCTAATTAGTTTTTACATTGGTTAACTGACTTTTGGGCTTATCTATATATTTGACTTCTATTGCTTATCTGACTTTATTATACATTTGTATAAATGAGTTTGTCACATTCAAATATTTTTCATAGATTTATTTGATTTTTCTTCACTTATTTATCCTACTTACAAAGGTAATAGGACCTGGGCCCTTGATTAACCTACTTCCTCTATACAAAATCATTATAGTGGGCATCACTATAGTTTTTCAACCTTTGCATTTTATATATCATATATTAAAACAAAATTAATATTAAAACATTAAAATTTCATAAAAAATTAATTATTTCTTAACAGACAAGAAATGCAATAGAATAAATAATTAGTACAAGCGCCAGGTTTAGGCCAAAAGGCCTTTCTGACCCTTGTGAGAGGGGCTAGTTTTCAGAAACCCTATGTAATCTGTTTATAGTTTAATTTTACTAATAGTCTACCTTATCGTTATTTATTAGTATAATATCTGTTTTACATCAAAAGAAGATAATCGCAGTATTTACTCAAATGCTATTTATAATTAATTGTTTTTAAACAGTTTATCGGACAAATAAACGCAACGTCGTTCGACAATTTTTAAAGTTTAGTTTAGTTTAGTTGTAAATTTGTTCAGGATAACATCTGGTTCCAACCATTAATATAAATACAATGAAACCTCTAAACAACGACCACTGATAGCAACACAAAAATTGGAGGTTCTACTGTATTTTAGCAGAATAAAATATGAGCCAATTAAATGTGTGGTTTGCAAGCAATTCAACAATTTGTGAAAGAGTATTATACCATTGTAATCTGTGTAATATGAAAGCAATACGATCATCAGATTTGGGCTTTCCTGTCTTAACAAAGTATTATGTGTCTGTATAACTTTTTAAACACGAAAATATGATAAAATACCGGCAAATTTCCTATAGGCCAAATTTATTATTCAAAAATATATCGAAGTTCTTGGAATATATTTCTGTTTATGTTTATTGCTCTTATCTTTTTACTTTATTAATAAATTTATCAATACATTTAAAACTAGTTTTCAAACAGGTGACATAACATTTCCATCTTCTGCATATACCTGTACATGCCTCTTCGCTTCATAACACTGTATTTATTCGAATATAAAACGTACTTTTTTCAAACTTTAGTATTAAAATATACAGTACTTGCAAATACTTTTTAAAAAATACTCAACGCTCTTAGCACTTAGAAATGCTAAGGGCCCTTTGACATTTCTTAGAAATATTGGTCTGGTAACACGGGCCCTACTGTTTATAAATATAAAATTGCAAGAGAAACAAAACAAGCGATATATTATTCATTTCCAAGGAAATTTAAGAAAAAAAAAAGTTGTTTTCACCAAATGAGTTAATGCATTGAATGTTTTATTATTTATGTTACTGATTTGCAAGTAATAATAAACTTGAGGACGCTATAAATAATATTTTGAATTGAATAAAAGCAACATGATATATTTAAAAGAAAAATTTAACATTTNGAAATTTTTCTAACATTTTTTACTACCAGAAACAGAATTAAATTTACTAAGGGCTCAAAGATTTGTTAATTTATCCATTAATTACATGTACAGTTTTTGAATCACTTTTGACTCCTTCCTCCTTGCTATGTTCTACTGTATGTACTTTTGGCAGATCCCCACTTTACTTCATGTACTGTATCTCTCCAGAATTTAAGAAATTATTAAAAAGTTCTGCAAATATTTTCCAACCAATAGTTAATTCACACGACTAGTAAGTAAGCTTGTGAGAACAGATTTGTATACAATAATACCACAGAAATTCCAGGTAGACAATGCCTCTATCCTCTTCCTACAAATCGTGTACAATGCTGTACTTTTCGCCATTCTCTTCCTCTTAAACTGTTCCTTAGTAAATTTATGTATTTACTAAGCTCTTATATATATATAAGAGCTTAGTAAATACATAAATTTACTAAGGAACAGTTTAAGAGGAAGAGAATGGCGAAAAGTACAGCATTGTACACGATTTGTAGGAAGAGGATAGAGGCATTGTCTACCTGGAATTTCTGTGGTATTATTGTATACAAATCTGTTCTCACAAGCTTACTTACTAGTCGTGTGAATTAACTATTGGTTGGAAAATATTTGCAGAACTTTTTAATAATTTCTTAAATTCTGGAGAGATACAGTACATGAAGTAAAGTGGGGATCTGCCAAAAGTACATACAGTAGAACATAGCAAGGAGGAAGGAGTCAAAAGTGATTCAAAAACTGTACATGTAATTAATGGGTAAATTAACAAATCTTTGAGCCCTTAGTAAATTTAATTCTATTTCTGGTAGTAAAAAATGTTAGAAAAATTTCGACTGCAGTTATTTTTAAATTAAAAAATAATTCGTGCCTTTTTCTATGTTACATCCTGTTACAAATGGGGACATATGTCCCTATTTTAATTAGGACCTAGATTTCTCGTTTAAATCCTGTGAATGGGTTCGATAATAATAATAATACGTCAATTACAAGAATAATTTATTTTTCATCGGTAAATTTTTATAGTAATATAAATTTTATTACATGAAGTACGAGCACAATGGAACATCGTTTTTCATTTTGTTGAGATGTAGAAATATTAAAAGGAACATGATTGACACAATTGAAATAATTTCTAATAAAAACTAAAATTTATTTTTATTCAAGGAAAGAAAGGGCATCACTTGGATCATTTCAATTTTTATACTAGTAATTTACAGTCAGGGCTAAACTTAGACTTACTGTGGTCCTAAGGAGCCGTCCATTAATTAAACGTACAGTTTTTTAGCCACTTTGGACCTCCTCCCTCTCTTCTGTGTACAATGACGTAGCCTACTTTTGGTAAATCCCTATCCCCTTACGTGTACAGTACATTCTTGACATTAAAGAAATTACTCGAGTAGGCATAAGAATGAATTCGTACGCCACTAATACTATTAAAAAAAGACCAAGTAGACAATACCCGTGTACAATAATGTACTTTTCTCCACCCATTAAACTGTACAAATACATAATGGATAGCCCTTAAGCTAAAGCACATACAGGCCCTTCTCCTCTACCAAATAATGATACACGTAAAAATGCGAGGCCCTAAACTACAGCTTGTTTAACTGAAACAAATCTTGCAGTGTTTATGTATGAATTTAATATTTAAATAAATAAACATTTAAAACGAGCAATACGGAAATAATCTCAAATGTTAGCGCTTCCAGTATTAAAAATGGTGTCCTATTTTCGTCCACAGTCAAAAGTGAAGTGGTAAGACCGCAGAAAAGACAAATTTACGAGTGACAAATTCACTGCATCTTAACAGTACAACTCATTTACGGCCCCTGATCGATTTCCTCCAGATTAAAGACGAAATCTTCCATAAAAAATAATAAATTTTAAGCATAAATTCACACTAAAATTTAATCTACACTTCGTAAATTTTAACGATAACATTCTCGAGTACTACTATAATTCTGTAATTGAATGCTGTAAAAATAACTACAAGGTCAGGCGAGCATCAATAAGAAATACGTTGTCACAGGGATCATCTCAAGGCAATATGAACTCTTTTAACATGAAAAATGGTTAATTTATCTTGACCGGTATTTAAATTCTGGTTCCTGGATAGTGTAACATTATTATGTAATATCTTAGGGCAATTTTTTTTATTTTTTTGTGGTTACTATAGGTAAGAATCGTTTGATGACGGCATGTGACAAATGAATTTCTAATGAATGATGATTTCCTTCCTGATAACTGGATCAATTGATACAGGTCATACCAGTTTGCACGCCTGATTTTATTTTCGTTTCAGATATGTCAATGGAAATTGTAATGATTTTTATCAGTGGCGCGTTATCCTACGGGCAAAAAGGGGCCCCAAATTCCCTCGAAGAAAAATGTCTGAAGTCAAGTACATGGGGGCCCTCTAGTTCAAATTTGCCTGGGCCACATGGTTAACGAAAAGTAATCTGTTTTATATTTAATTTTTTTTTAAATATCATTTTTAGCTGGTTCTCAATATTTTTTCCTGTGTCCTACAGGAGAACTCACCAAAAACAATCGTATCTAATTAATTAACAAAATCAAAATGGAATTTTAAAATATAATAATTAAATATTCCTTGCTGCTTGTTATTTATAAATAATTCATTTTTACTTAACGGGTGTTTCTAAATTAAGTATAAAGTGAGAAGCAAGGATCAAGAATAACCAGTGTGATTATTGGTCTTCATTATCAAATTTTTTGGTACAAGGTTTGTTTGATAACATAAGGCAGCGGGACACGTGGTTGATCTGCCTTTCTTCCGGTAAAATTTTCTGTGACCCTATTTAGGTGTAGAAAACCCGGAAAACTCCACGTGAGGCACGAACCCGCGACCAACTATCGATGACCAAGAGTTCCTTTCTGTACAAAATAAATATTTCTTTTCTCAATAAGTATAAAATTACTTATAATTTTATCCTAAAATGTCCAAAATTGCCTTATTTCATAAATTTTATACATTAAATCAATAAATTCTGATATGTATTGATATATGATGTAGTATACAGTAAAAATCTCATGTGGCCATCTTTGGGGTATACAATTTCAGGCCTCATAAATGTGGTGGTCATCTCGGTTGGGTTGTAAATATTGATACAGAACTGTAATTAGAGTATCCTTATGAATCCTGCTAAAAGTTTCACAGATTATAAAAATAAACAAAAAAAAACCTCACATAATACTGTACATTCTTTACAATATGTAATAGTTTAATTACTCTGTACGAAAGTTTGATGTATTAATATTTAATATAATATTGATGTATAGTAGAAGTTCTGTTTGCGTTAGTACTGTACTTGAATGAACCCTAAACAGTTTTTAGTACCAGCAGGTGCAATTAGTATGGGAATAAAAGGTTTCATTTAAATGATGTATTTAAACAGAATTCAGAAATAAAATTATTAAACAGAAGTCATACAGAAACATATGCAGATGTGTCAAAAAAAAAATGTGTTAATAATTAAACTGACTTTTACATCAGTCTTTTCAAATTCTTCTTTGTAAAGTGTTGTGAGTGACATAACAGTGACATGGACCAATCACTGCTGATTTAAATTGTCTGTATTTACACTAGACAAATAATATATTTTATTTGAATGTCATCTGTGGGAGGAAACTTGGCAAACTGTTCCAAAACTACATGAACAAAATTCAATTCCATTTTAAGTACTTTTCTATATACAACATCTTGTTTAATGTTGTTTTTCCTTTTCTGTTGACCACAAACGGAGCTAAATATCACTTAAATGGTCAAGATATCCTAAAGTGAGATGACCAGTGGCCACCAAGATGGAGTTTAAATTAAAACTTATACAGTTTTATAGGAGATTCATGGGTGGCCACCTCAGTTTTGTATAGTTTTATGACAAATTATGTAAGTCTATTAAACTAGGAACTAAAATATATAACAGCAGCAATTATTTTTTGAATTTTTTTATTAAGACAAATATATTTAGAATCTAGTTCTATGTAACTTTGAGATTCCTTAAATTAAACTATGATAAAACTAAAATTACATGTTGCAGTAATTTCCTTAAATTATTATTTAAAATTAAATTAAGTACAGCATAAATTTAAAAGATTTTTAGTAAATGATTTTCTAAGTTTATGGACAATGAGGATTTTTTATATACATGGTTCCTACTCAAATTTTTGTTTTAATTTCCATGACCAACTTCATACAAATTCCCTGGCCGTCAGGTCCGTCACAGTATGGCACATTGACAGAATAAAACAGCATTTGACTTACTATGCACATATGTTTTGCTTCTCCAATGCTTTAATTAGTTATTTTTTCTCATTAATAGTTAATAATTTGGAAATTATAAAAAATATATAAAATTCTATTATTAATTTTTGGTTTGTTAATTGGTTTTAAAAGAAAAAAAATTATTTATTTATTATTATTCATTAACAAGTTCTATATAATCCATGTACAAAAGTATATATTTATTAAATTTATCTCTTATTAATATTTCATAAAGCTTGGGAAATTTATTAAGCTGGAAAAAAAGCAGATATTGTTTGTTACACAATCAAAATTATTAAAATGAAAAATAATACCATTTAAACTATCATTTATCACCATTTTGTGTACTTTGTAAGCTTTGGGTCCTGAAAGTATTATGAAAAGGGGTGCAGAAGTTGTATTATACATTACTTCTTGCTGCTTGCAGACACTTGGTCAAGCATATTGTCAACAAAAAATCAACAAGGTAGCCAAGGAAGCAAATTCCCTGATATTCCAGGTGTGTAGGAATCCTGTATATAATATATAATGATAAAAATATTTTTTTAAATATGTTAAAATTAGATAATTGAATTATTATTAATTTCAAAATATATGAATTTGTTTCAAAACTTATTTGATAATATTTCAAACGCTGATTTTATCAAGACAATTGACACTTACAAGTTAGTGTAGTTTGACAATACATCAGTGATATGACAAAATATTCTAATTCCATAAGGTAATATCCACAGAATCTTAAAATACTTTAAAGCATTCTTATTAAATTATCCTATATGTAAAAATGAATTATATATAAAATTAAACTCAAAATATTTTGATAATATAAAATTAAATATTTGAATTACATTCCAATACTTAAAAATTTAAAAAAAAAAGGCAAATAAAAATGAATTTCAACTTTCACTTTTTATTTTAATTTTCATACCAATGTACAAAAAAATTGTGCAGTTAATGAAGTAGACATAAAAATGTACCTTTGTCTAATTTTTGGTAGTTAAGTAAACAAAAAATACAGTATTATACTGAAAAGATTTGTACAAAAGTCAATTCAACAGTTCATGGAAATGTATTGGTTGAATGTACTAAAGAAAAATAATTAGAGTTCACATTTTGAATTTCTATGGAAGCCATTCACAGAATAACTGCCCTGAACACTAAACATTCAAACTGGAACTTGAAATGACATCTAGTCAACAGATGTTTTAACACTTGACTGAAGAATGTTGATGATTAAATACAAAAATTATGGAATTATATGATGTTCGATTTTCATAATTCATCGTGTTCCGATGACTCTTCCTACAAAAAATAAGAAAATTTTTGTTTTAAATAATGCATTAAAGCAATAACAAGAGGAGAGAAAAAAAAAGTTTTCTTCTTACTTCTGTATCTTCCTCTTTTTGGTCTTCTTCATCTTCTGGTTCTTCTGAAGGTTCTTCAACCTAAATAAGTTTGTGAAAAATTTTAAATAAAATTTTCAGTATATATAAAAAAAATTAACATTTTCATAATTTAGAAATAAGAAAAATCAACACTTATTTTAAAAAACTGCCTGTGTAATTACAAGTGAAATTTTATTTTATTAGTCAACTTTTATATTTGAAGGGTTCGTTTTGAATTTATTTGCTGAATACATAAAATATTAAATAATAAATAATGCAGAAGAATCTGCTTGTTTACATTATTACAATGTGCATCTGTTAGTAGTCACACCAAACAACTACCAGATTCCACCAGGCTATTTATCTGCGTTTAAATTTAATTAATTTCTAAATAATTTGTTCTAGAGGGAGGTGTTAGGTGCCATCTCTTATTAAATTTAATAATTATAATTAAATTAAATAATTTTTAGAATATTCTGGAAGAAAAAAATTGGCCTAGAGCAAGAGTTAAACCCGCAACTCACACTTACCATGAGGCTGTGTTGCGAGTTACACTACCCAAAACTCCAGTATGATCTCCTCTTCCAGGTATATTTAATGATATAATCATCCTCGGTTAATGCAGTTAAATAGCCTGATGGAATCCAGTAGTTGTTTGGCACAAATTTATCGGGTTTGAGAATTACTTATTAGTAGTCTCAAAAATATATATAAATTCAGCTAAGAAATTTTCAAAAAGAAGTGCAAATTGATTCCATTCTTTATTATGTTATCTTAGTAAAAACAATCTTTTTATAACAATCTTTTTGTAATGTGATAAATTCGATTACTTTTTAATTTAAGATAGAGCAAATAATTGCTTAAGAAAAATTACCTGCAAGTCTTCTGGTACTCCAAGTGTCTTTTTTAACAATGTTTCTACTCTTTCAGCAAAAGATGAGGTATCCTGAAGCATGTAACCAGATCTTAATGTAGCAGTCTCAAACATAATATTGGCCATCTGATGAGCTGTCTGATCACTCTTATCTGCCTGTAAATGTACGTACACATAGTTTAATGTAAATTTTAAATAAATTTTTAAACATTGTTCGATTTTTAAAGATCTTTGCTTTGTTTGAACATTATTATTTTGAAAAATTACATAGTGTGTTGAGTTAAATAACATACTATGTAATTTCAGTATAGTTTAGGAAATGATTTATACTTTATGTAAATCTTTTTAATTTTTCTTTTAATTAAAAACTAATAAAACATTTTAGCTTAGCATAGCAGTAATAACAATTTTGTTAGAATCTATTTTTATAATAATTAGAAATAGTAGTAGTAATATGAATAATTTATAAAATAAATTAGTGATTTTAATAAGAATCTATCAACAGTATATTGAAATAAAGACAGATTAGTGTATTTTTTCTATTTGTTAATAACCTTGTTAATATACATGCATATTAATGTTTCAACATGCTATTTAGTCAACTTATTTATCAAGAATTAATTTATGTATTTTGAAAAACCAGCTCAACTGTTCTTGTTCGTATCAAAATTTCTTGGAAAGTATATATTTGTTTTCTTACTATTGATTAACAGTTAATAAATGGAAGAAGAAAAAATGTTTTAAAAAAGTGTGTTGAATTATCAAAATATGTAAATTGTAGAAATGTTAAAAACTAAACTCATTATGCACAAACTAATTAATACTAATTCATGTTTATTATTCATATTTATATTGAATATTTTGTTAATCAATACTGAAATTATTTTCTTTGTGAAGAAAAGTAATTACAATTGAATTTCGCGATTTTTACAGAAAATTATTTTACTTTAATGTACAAATTTTGTGAACATTTATGAGCTACTTAATAATTCATCAGTAGAAAGTTCCCCAAAGCAGTTGATATTGATTCCCAAAGGGATAATTCAGGAGGTCAATAAACTCTAAGGTATCGAAAGTTGACAACCAAATGTCATTTTTATTTTTTGCATCAAACACCAAGCATGAATTCATTCATTTGTCAAGAAAGCAATGACACATAATTAATCAATAAATTTGGAGCAAAGCCATTTAATTTGCAATGCTGCAATTTTATGTGATTATGTTTTAAAATGTAAAATTAATATTTTTATGTCATTCATCATTTCATTGAAATAAGGATTTAAATCTTGTTATAGGAGGCAGCAAAATTACTATGATTTTATTGTAAAATCAAAACTAACAAAACATTAGTTTAGAAAAAACTTACATTGTTATTTAAATAAAATGAACAACTATACATGTTCATTCTACTGTATATAATAAAAAAATAAACAATTTATATAATATAAATTTACAGATATTTAACAATACATAAAGGGCATTTTCAATTTAATCAATAATAAACTTCAAAAGGTGTATTTGTCCTCTTGAATCTTGCAGAATTGGACTCTCACAAAAGATGTGAAAAGAGATGTATATGTCTACTTTCCATATCTTAACTGGAATATTTTATTACATCCAGAATGAAATTTAAAACCATTTTTTCCTGCAGTTTTGAATAAAATGAGTCATACTTAATAATTTAATTATTAATTACAAAATGTTTGTTCCGTAAATTCTCATTTTATAAAAACACTAAAGTAATGTAATCACCATATTGTAACATTTAGGCTATAACTATTGCATTTTTTTGAATGAAGAAGCATTTAGAAAGTATAAAAACCACTACATCTATTTGATACACTTGTCCTGATTATAAACTACAGTGAAACAATCCAAATAGAAAATGCAATCAATGAATCTCATTTATAAGAACTCATGGTGTACAAATCTTAAAGCCAATTGTTTAAAAATAAATTCCTTTAATTTACAATTGGCCATGTCTCAATGACAATATCTCACCCACAACTGCTCATATTAAAAATGCAAAAAGGAACAATAGTGAATCAATATAAAAAACATAACTATAAACGTAAATAAAATAGTTATACATGATAACATACTTTTATATATTTTTTTTAATATTTATATTGTGTTGTTGTATGTACTTTATTGTATTGTAAAAGAATAAAACAATAAGACCATAAAAGCAAATGGACTATAATAAAAGATTACACAGTAGAAACTACTTAAGCAATTAGTGACCTAAGGAAGCACACTTTTTTTTACATACATTTGTTTAAATTTTGTATATTCACACTTAATAATATTTTCACAGTTTCCAGGTAATACAATAATAAATAAATAAATAAAGATAAATGAAAAGACATAATGTAAATTAGAGAATGGTTATAAGTATTTACAATGGGAAGTTATTATTATATATGAATAATAATCAGCCCATTAAACATTTTACAGTAAACTAATCATCAGAATAAATCAGCCTATTTTATATGAGTGGAATCTGCAATGTGGCAGCAAGTATATCTGAATTAGAAATATAAGGTAAATTCATAAATTCATTTAATGATAATGTTTTTTAGTAGATGTGGGTAGTTCCAGATTAGAACTGTTCTGGATTCTGTACTACTAAGAACAGTTCAACACTGAGTGTTGACAGTTTCATTTGGAAATACAGTGGTATCTTGGTATACGTCTGCTTTAGAATAAGTCCTGTTTGGATGAAAAAAATTTTGCTCGGTATACAACTTAATTCAATTATACGCACCATCTATGAACAAGTAGCACTATCGGTGTACTTGACCAGACTAGATGCTCGCGGTGCCACAGTTTATAACTTTGTTAAATTTCTTATGATTTTAATTTGTAAGTAAAATTTTATTGTTTTTATTAATCATGAATTGCAAAAAGGCAAATGAAAAGCAACAGAAAACTAAAAAAAATTACTAGAATCACAATGGAACTGATAAAAGAGATTGTTGAGAAATATGAAGGTGGCATGTGTGTTCGAGATTTTAACTGCATACCGTATTCTGAGAACGACGATAGACAATTGTGAAAAATAAAGACATTATTGAATCTGCTAACGTTGCGAAAGGGGTTAAACCAATTTCTAAACAGAGATCAAAGACATTAGATCATGTCAAGAAATTGCTTTTGCTTTGGATAACTGAAAAACAGTGTGCTAGAGACAGAGTATCAAAAGCAATTAGTTGCAAGAAAGCTAAAAAGATACATGCTGATCTCATGAAAAATCAAGCAGGAACTAGCCAGGAAAGTGAGGTGTTTAAAGTCAGCCATTTTTTTTTACATGAGAACGGATTAATCATTTTTATATTACTTCTTATGGGAAAGGTTGGTTCAATATACGTCCTATTCGGTATAAGTCCAAACATCAGGAATGGATTAAGGTCGTATACCGAGGTTCCACTGTGCATTATTCATTTTGTACTTTTATGAACACAACTTTTCATGGAATAGTGAACTGTATCTGGATTTAAACTAACTAAATGAGAATATTCCATGAAATTTTAGGAATCAAATTATAAATTTAAAATACTCAAAACTAATGATATTTTAAAACTTTATGAATTCTAATAATAAAAATATAATTACTTGTTTTTATTAGAAACTAGCAGATATGTCTAGCATTGCCCACTGAGAAGGCTAAACATTAAAATGAAAACCATATGCTAAAATAACCAAATTTTAATATCATTGTTATGTTTATCACGAAGTATGGAGGAGATCAAATAGGAGATGAGTAGGACATTCAGATTTCACAAAAGTCTATATTTTCCTCAGGGTCTCAGAGTATTATTATAAAAAAATTTGGTGCAGATAGGTAAAAAATTACAAGTAGAGAAGCAAACATTGTATTATGTCTAGGCAATTCTGACAGAACATAATAGTTCTGAGAATCATGTAGTCCAACTGTTCTGGCAGAACTGGATTCCCACCTCTGTTTTAATCAATTGTATAAAATAAACTATATTTTCAGCAGCCATGGAAATTCAGACTGGAATACCTTAGTCCACTATGATTAGAAATAGTAGTCTTAATCCAGATCTTGAAGATATCAGTTGACAATAATGTCATGATATACCATGCCTAATTGCCAAATTTTTTATTAAATTATTTATGTGTTGATTAAAAGTAAAAAGTTTACTATAAAAAAAAAATCGCACCCAACTGTTATTCAACAAATTCAATATTAACATTATCAATCAAGAAAGGAACCAACTAGATCAATAATTACATAATTTTAAAATCAGACTATTAAGTACAGTACATTCAAATCTTCCTGTAATATTGTTTGATTACTGTTAATAATCTTTTTTATATGTCTATATATAATATGACAATATATTTGCAAAAATAAAATCCTATATCAATTAAAATCAATAAATAAAACAAACATTTTATGATATTTTATTTTTGAATAAAAGGACTGACATTCAAAGTTTGGAACTTCTGATCCATTGCATACTGAAATTATCTAACTTAATATATTTTTGTTTTATAAATATTCACATTTTAACTGAAGGCTTAACACTACTCTAGCTGCTTGTACAAAGAAATTTTCTTGGTTTTAAATTTGAGTAATATTTTTAGTAATGTATGGTAACTTAATGAAGTAAATAGACAGACATTTATATAAAACAGATTGAGAAACAATTAAGTTACACATAATGGAAAATTATGCATGGAGAAATAATTTTTAAAACGTAAACATTTATACTTACTTCAACTCTTCGTAGAAGTTCTTTTATGAGTGGATGATATGGATTCACTTCTAATGTTTTCTTTTGACTTAAATAATAGCTGGAAAAGTAATTTTAATTTAGTATTTTTTAAAAGTTTTAACATGTTAAATTCAATTTTATTTATACTAACTCTCTTGCCGAGTCATAAGATTTGCTATGTGCATTGCTTCTAGCCAATCTCTCCATATTGCCTGTCCATCCAAACTGACTTGCTACTAATGCACAAGGTGACGAGTGAAGTCTTTGAGAAATAGTGGCTTTAGAGATCTAAAAAATGAATTAATTAAAGTACATCTCTATAAATAAAAAAATGTCTTTAATACAAAATTAAACCATACTTTATCTTTAAGAATATCTTCTTCTAGCCATTTAGTAAGAGATTCAAACTGTTTTGCTAAAGCTTCTTGTTTTTCTTTTGCTTTCTCACCATCATCTATTTTCAAACCATCCTTAGCAACATTTTGGAATTTCTTCCCTTCAAATTCTGGAAGTGCAGAAATTGAATATTCGTCAACTGGATCTGTTAAGTAGAGAATTTCATATCCTTTTTTCAACAGACGTTCCACAAATGGAGATTTTTCCACCTGTAATACACATTTAAGGAAAAAAATTTAAAAAAAGATATATTACAGTCTATACCTATACAGCCTATATGAATTAATTATGAATTATTTAAATTATTCCCAAATAATTCAAAACAATTCTCAAATTAGATTTCTAATTTGAGAATTGTTTGAATTAAAAAGTCACGGACTAAAAGTTTTACCTCTTGCATGCTAGATCCAGCCATATAATAAATATACTGTTGCTTTTCATTCATTCGTTCAACGTATTCTGCGAGAGATGTTGTATTTGAAGGAGCATATGATGACGGAAATCTCACTAATTTAGCCAATCTTGATCTATTGCTAGGATCTTCAATGATACCTAATTTAAGGCTAAATTCAAAGAGAGAGAAAAAGCCTGTTAATTTTAAAAACACTAATTATTTTTACACCATTTAATATTGTTTAAATTTTACATTCAGTAGAAGCCATGTACTGTAATCTATTTGGGATTCACCTATATTGATAACAACTGACTAAGAATATTAAGCAGAATATATGAACAAGACTGCAATTAATGAAAATACTAGTTTTGTTGACTGACGTTAAAACTATTAAAAAATATAATTAACAATAATAAACTTTCAGGTTTGAAAATGTTTTTCTATATTATTACAACACAAGTTAATAATAATAATAATGTTTTGCACTTGCTAATTCTGTTGATATTAAACACTACATAACAATATCCACGATTTCATAAATATATACTAGAATCCATTTGTAGCTTATTATGAAAAACATTTATAAAATGTGAATAAATTAAAAGTTGAAAAATTCTATTTATATTAAATAATTTAAATTTAATTAAAAATTTCATTAATAATTTGTACAACATGGCACATTTAATGAAAGAGAACTAACTTTTGTCCTTAATTTTTACTTTGTTTTCCTGCACTAATTGCTTATATAGTTCAAAAGTTAATAATTTTTGTTACTGTATTGCACACTTAATCTTGCATGCATTAAAATAAATCATAAAATTCAAACGTTTCCAGAATTATCTTCAATGGTGTAAACAAATATTCACCTTAGATTTTTTAGATCTAGAGGTTGCCACCATCTATGACATCAGTTCTTGTATATATGAAGCACCAACAATTTGTTTATCATTTATTTAGTAGCAGCGAGTTGAAGACTTCATATCAACAACTGAGCAACATGCAAATATCAAATTTATTTTTTTGCATAAAAAGTCATCACTGCAGATATTAACAACGTTTCAGAAGCATATGATGACACAACAATGTGGAAATTGCAAGTTCACACAAGTGAAAAACAAAAAATTGTTTTCTTAATAATATATCTACACATCAATCCTTAATGGTCAAGCAGTGCCTATTAAAGTACAATGAGATGTCACTGAACATCCTGCATATTTTTGATTAGCAACTGCCACTATACAATTATTAAAATGTGGCAAATGTGTTTAGAAAGAAAAGATTCCAGTGTGTTTACAAAACTTTACAAACACTAATAAATATGTACAGCTGCTTAGGGAAGCTATTTTAAAGAATATTTATTTTAAATAACATTAATGCTATTGATTTCTATATAACGAAGAAATTCCAGGAAGTTTTGAACCTTAAATGATGACCATGACTATCAGTAAAAAGTATAGCTTAGCTTAAAGTAAATAAAAGTAATCAAGCTAAAAGAAATTTTAGCAATTCTATTATAAAGTAGTTTATAACACTATTTCTAAAAGAGAATAGTTGAATTAAATTAATTCACATTCTAACAAGTCAATTTCAAATACAGTAACATGTAGTAAAGTGATGTTGACAGGATATTGTGGAAACAACAATTTTTCTATTTACAAACAATGAAATTTAAAATGTTACTGATGCCAAATAATAAAAAATATCAAAATTGATCTGCCATTTTAATTTTACAAACAGTAAACTTTACAGTTATAAATCTTTTTCATAATTTGCTTAGTTAACATTTATGCAATTTAAACTTCTGTTCGTCACACTAAAATTTGTAAACAGAGTAATGTAGACTTATATAATCACCACAATTATACCTAAAGAAACCATTATTTAAAATATAAATTTTGGGAAAAATTTTGAAAAAGAACTTAAATCTGTTTTTCAAAAGTGCTCATTAATTTTAATAGAACTATTAATATAAAATTAAGATTTGATTCAGAAATTACAATTTTCTTACAAATCTTAAGAAACTGCTACTCAGTTAATGCAGCATGTAGGTCAAATATTAAAAATCAAAATTTAAAGTCAATTTTATTATTGAAATTAAATTTATACAATTAATATTTAAGCTCTACTTCAAAGAAAATTATTCTCTTACTAGATATTTACAGAACAGTTTAAATGAAATAGTTGAAATCAATATTAAAAGTTTTTCATGTTTTGCATATTTTTCTTTTCCTTTAATTATCTTTAAAGACATGTATGCATCCATGTAAAAAATCTGCTGATGGGAAAAATTCTCCATTTAAAATATTTTGTCTTATTTCATTGAAACTATTAACTTAAGTTTTATCTGAAGCATTACTGAATTTGTAGAATTGATTAATACACTTTTAAATTGCCATATAAGCAAAATATACTGTTTACTTCTATATGAGTAATAAAAGAAAGAAGTAATTACTGTACTTACTTTGTACTATATTCTTTCCAAAATTTTTCATACTCTTCTTTTGGTATCTTTTTAATCATATCCAATGTTTTTCTGACAAGTTTCTTCTTAATGACTTTCAATAACTTATGTTGCTGCAATGTTTCTCGTGAAACATTTAATGGTAAATCATCAGAATCAACCTGAAAAAGTTAAATTACTTTTAATAAAATTTTTATTTATAAAAGTTTTTAAATTTAAATTTTTTCAAGTAATTGATGTAACTCCTAAAATTTAATTCAAATTAACAATGTAGCTAAGGACATCAAATGAATGGCAATAGCTATGAAAATATATATAATAATTAATTAAAATATA